TAGATTAATCCACCACTGAAAATAGTGCCAGAGAGCTGCACTATTTCCTCCTGTTAAACTAACCTGATTCAAATAGCAGGCAGGCAGCTATATATTTCAACTACTTGGGAGCTATTTGTGAAGATTCACCTGAGGACTTGGAGCTCAGTGACAAAGGCAGTGCAGGGAAGAAAGTCCTCTCCTATTAAAAGTTGCTCCAGAACATAAAATATGTTAATGACTCACTGACTGCAGGGAGTCAGAGTTACACTTCCATAACTTTGTGGAACTTTCCAGAGACAGATTAAAAAAGAAGCAGCAACATCTTTAACAGGTTTTATCGTGACTCAAAATGGGTTGAGCTGGACCCTAAACTTCCCACAGTGCACCTCAGAAGTGTTAGATCCTCACTGCCTAGTAAGGGTTCACATATTTCAAACTCCACGCCTCCTATTTGTAAAGCAGGTTTTAAAAGTTGTGGTCTCCAATTTAAATGTTGTTACAGACTGTTCACCCTATGAAGCGTAAATTCACTTTGACATGTACATTCTGAAAGGTAAATGATTCAGAACAGTTTTTAAAATGCAGCATTCAGCACTTAGAGTCAGTGTGCAGAGTCCTGTCACCACCAAACAAAGCCCTGTTTGTTTTACCTGATGACCTCATACAAAGCTGAATATGTGTGTGGTAGAATGTGGTTCCTCTCAAGTCCCTCTGACAGAATGCAAGGTGAGGATATCTTGATATTATACTAGATAGATTACAACCATGCCATGTTCTAACATTTGTTAAGAATAATACATGTGCCTGCATTCATACTCTACTACACGTACTGTGCTTCAAACTATCTACACATTTTGTCCAACCAAATCCAAAGGAAAAAATGATTTTATCTGTTTATCAGGGTTTAGATAGCTACTCGCTAGTTGAGGTTTGGAATCAATCATGGTCATTGTCAAAAGAACAGCAGCAGTCACATGCTGCATCATCCCATCCATCACCCTGACCTCCTCTCTGCAGAGTCAAGCTATAACTCACAGATCTCACAGGGCCCCTTTGTCAGTTATTATGTAAAGAAGTGACTTTCTGATGTTTTCCAAAACAGAACCATTTGTGATGGATTATATAAATAAGTAGTGCTTGACTTTGCACACTTTCCAGGTTTCACACTTCTCTTTGCTTAATTGCAGGGAACAGTTTTAAAACCCATCATTGCATCTCATATTAGAAGGTGGTGTTGCCATCACTCACCGCTTGAAGAGAACTAAACTGTCTCATTCTTTTGGAAAGCTATGAATAATACGCTTTCTGTATCATCATTAAAAGAAAGAGTGGCTATAATTACTTGAGAATTGCCATTTTATGTTACTGCTACTACAATTTTGATTACAAAAATATTGTAATATACTAACTACTTTGCAGGTTAATATTATAAATACAAAAAATTAAAGGATATTAATTATGATGGCGTATTATTATGGGTTAAGATACCTGGCAGTTTAAAATGTCATTAAAGGTATCCCCACCTTTAACGGCTGCTACATTTAAATTGTGTTTACATTAATTGATCATTTATTAGAATCCAGCAATATAAAATCATCAGAAAATAGCCATTCTGCAAAATGAGTACTTTTAGTTTTGGTACTTTAATTATATATTATTTTTATTTTTATACTTTTGTGTTTTTTTACTATAGTAATATTTTGACCTTTACTTGTAACAAAGTAATTATACGCTGTTGTATTGTTATATGTCAATAAGTTAATGACATGAGTACTACTACCACTGCTATAGACTCTTACAAGAGGTCGGAGGTAAGGTATTGACCTCGCTTGGTTGAGGGTAGGATAGGTTGTCAGGCAGCGAGTCTTGCATTCTCACTAGAGTAGCTCACTGTGGTACATAATGGAACTGATCCATCCTTATTGTTATCTGTTTCTCCAGTCCTTTACTACTTTGGAAAGTCTACTGTGAAAAAGTTCTGAGAAGCAGTTTAAGCACTCCTGGATTTCTGGCACAGACCCCTGAAGCCCCTCAGGCCGTTAGGATCCTCCTGCACCTGCAGTGTCCCTGCAGGTCCACAAACCCTGAACGCATCTGAGCCAGCCAACACGCGGGATACCACACGCTGCCTGTGTCTGCCAGAGGAAACAGCTGTGTGTAGTTCACTGTGAATCACATTCTCGACATGTGTCTGTCGACCAGATTCTACAGCCCAAACAAATGTTGCCTGCAGGTCATTATGGCTAGGTGTCGCCTCCGTTTATCTGCTTCTTTCCTCTTGTGTGTGTGTGTGTGTGTGTGTGTGTGTGTGTGTGTGTGTGTGTGTGTGTGTGTGTGTGTGTGTGTGTGTGTGTGTGTGTGTGTGTGTGTGTGTGTGTGTGTGTGTGTGTGTGTGTGTGTGTGTGTGTGGAGTCCTCTAAGGATGTCTCTTTACAAACATCCTGACACCCACACACTCTACAACAGCTCCTGTGTATTGCTATTTTCAATATACTTCACTAACACAGGTTAGTGTATGAGTACTATAATATAAGCAACAACAAATGATACTGATCTCGGCCTCTTATAAAAATGTAGATTTCACCTGCTGTCAACTACTGATACAAGTGTGAATAGGCCTTTATTTCTAAATTCAGATATGCTGACTGACATATTCCCAGGGTATTTGTTTAGATTTCGTAAATGAGAATGTAAAATTCTCAAGGAATCACACGTGAAAATACCAATTTCACACGAAATACCCATCTTTAGTAATATCACAAAGAGACTGTGTCACTGTGATACATTGATATGAATCGCTCATACAATGTTATAAAAACATGTGAATCTGAAAATGTCATACAACAAAGTCTTGCTTTCAAAATCATGTGATCAATGGAGATCATTTTACATATTAAAGACTAATTGATGTATAGACATTTTACATGTGACATTACACATCTGAATACAATAACTTAGCAACTAATATCTCCTTTAAAAACAACAGTTGTATAAATTCAGATTATAAAGGCATTCTGTTCTGTTCAAACATCTCACAATGTCGGGATGTCCATAGTTTCAACATTCAAATTCCAATACTATTCTCCCAAAACCACTGCATACCATTTCAAACTATTTCAAATGGAGATTATACATTTGAATGTTCCTGTTTTTATCTCCCGGCTAACTAAAATATCTTACTTTTCCAACACTGTTCCGAACAAGACTATATACTGTGATACAGCAGCACAGTGTGTACATGTGATGTCATACTTTGGTGATAACTCCACACCATGGTGATGTTTATATTTGTCATGATCCTCACTAACTTATTTTGGCCTTTTAGATCACACCTGCTCTGCTCTAATGGTTATCTGAGATGAATCCATGAACACAACAGTGCTGCTAAGAACATGTACCTGAACCCACCGGTATAGTAGTATCAAGGAAGAGATCTCTAATCAGAATCCATTAAGGGGACTTTATAGCAACAAAAACACGACATGTGACCACTAAAGCATAACCAGCCTACTAACTCCTCTAACACTGATGCCTATAAACCAGCTTGACCAAAACATTCTGTATTTTGATGTTGAACGTGACACGGTGCATGCAGTCTTACCTGTCCCGATGCCAGGCTCTCCCTGTGTGCTGGTTAGTGGTTTAGTCCAGGTAGCTTCCCACCCCTTACTTCTGTCTGAAACAAGCAGCTCCCAACTTAAAAGGGAGGAGGAAAAGAAAAAGGCCAGCCCCTCCCCTCACTGAGAGCAAAGTTCAGCTTCCTGGTGTGCACAATGCTGGGACACACTGCTGATACAGTGCAGATACAAGTCACTGTAAGAGGATAGCAGTGGGATCATAATGGGATGTCCTCCGTAGCGGTTATAGTACACCTGGCTGGCTCAGGGAGCAGCAGTGAGGAGACAAAGGAACTGGTTATGCAGCTTAGAGGGCAGATAGCAGCAGACCTGCTCTAAACCACTGGATGAATGAACTCAACCCACGTTCACAGGAAGCAGCGCTTGTTGCAACCTGCACAGTGGGTCATTACAGCTGCTCTGTAAACTCTGTGTGCGAAGCAACAATTGCGAAATGCACATTTAAGAGGTGCAGTTAAGCTTTATAGCTCTATTACAATGGTTTCATCATCTTTCTGCAGTGCAACCTGATCTGAGTATCAAAATACAAAAGTAATGTAACCTGATTATTTTTGAGGCCATTGGATTACCTCAATATAAGATGCAATGAAATAAATAGAAGAGAAAAACAATAACAATACATTTGTTTTTTGACTTAAGTTTCTAATGTAAGACAACAGAACATTGTGACGTTAGAAAAGAAGAAACCAAGATATTTAGGATAAAAGATGATGTTATCTACAGGAAAAGCTGCTTTCATGAAGCATATTCCGGCAGCAGCCTTTCCACCAACACTGAAACACATGAGCACAAACTACAGTTTAAAAAAGCAGAAAGAAAATCTGAGCTGACAGAAAATGCTCCGTTTTAGTTGAATACACACAGTTAAGCTCACACACACTATTTTATGAACATATAGGTTCACCTGCTGAATTAAAGACAACAAATGAAGCAAAGAAAGTGAAAACCATAAAGCAGATTCAGGCAGTAGAAGATTATATTCACACTTAAAGTATTATCCTACAGAACAGAACAGCTGACAGAGAAGAGATAACATCTGATCCTTTACATCAGACACTATGATCTTTTTAGTTTTTACCAACACTGTAATCGTGCCAGTCATCCCCAATGTTAAATAATGTAACAGTAATCTAAATAATTATTGTTTTATGTAACTTTAAGGAAATAAAGTAACTTTTTTTGTATCCTGATTATGTAATCCCGTTACATATAATCCGTTACCCCCCAAACCTGTTGTTTTGTCAGCCAAACTCACCTCATTGGCTCAGCTCTTTATATACAGTCATGGCTCAGCTGTGAGTGCGCGTGTAGTTCCTTCCCCGGCCAGAGAGTGGCGCTGTGCGTGATGGCTCGGGTTATGGGACTGTGTTCTGTTTCTCAACTTCCGTTTTATTTCCTCTTTCAACGGTACTGACTTTAGCTCCTTTCGTTCCATGAATTGGTGACACTTATGAAATATTAATGCATATTCCGACAATGCACAACACAGGGACCAGGCTTGTGTTTCACCGGACGGTCCGCCTGCTGTCACAACGACATTAGCTCTCTGTGGTCGGCTGTGAGCTCACCATGCCGCTCGCTCCGGCTAACCAGTCCCACCTGATCCGCTCCAGTCAGAAGGACGAGTACTACCAGAGCTCCCTGAGGAACACCGCCAACGAAGCCTTCCAGACTCTGGCTGGTGAGAGCGTTTAATAAAGGCTTCTTTTCACTAGGTGAACAGTTTCAAATGTGTTCAGGCTGCTGCTGTCAACCTTGTGTTTGGTGAAATAATGAGCCAACATATATATATATATATATATTTAAAGTTATATTGTTCTAAAAGCTTCTTGTTCTGGGTTGATTAAGAGTCTGAATCGCACCGGGCTTCATGCAGAAGGTAGAGTTGGAAGAAGTAAAAGTAGTAAAACCACACTAGAAATATGTTACAAGTAAAATACATTCATTAACAATGTTAATTAAATATAATTACACAATTATAAGCAAGTTAAATATACTTAACAGGGTTCGTACGGTCATTAAAAACCTGGAAAAGTCATGGAAATTTAAAAAGCTAATTCCAGGCCCTGGAAAAGTTTTGGAAAACAATATTTTTCCCAAAGTTTTTGGAAAAGTCATGGAAATGTAACTAAAGTTGCATCAAATATAATTTATATTGTATCTAATCGCCGAAATAGTAATACTATAATGATAATAGATACTGTATCGTATAGTAATGAAATGTAAAATGGCATTTAACTGTCGAGGTGTTTCGCTGGGGAGAGATTTGAGTTGCTTCAGCGTGTAGAAGCTAGTAAGCTACTATTGGATTTGTTTCATATGCAGACCTTATTTTCCTGCTCCATGTTCAAATCAACCATTTTCAGTGGCTCCGCTGAGAAAGAGTCATTTATTTGGTCACTTATTTTTGGAATAATATATGATATCAGTAGATCATAATAAGTGAAGCATTAATGTGTTAATTTAGCAATTTGTAAAGAATGAGATAACTTTACTGACTTTTTATACTGCCAGATATCTCCACTCATAATAGTACATCAAATGTCATTAGTCCATTTAAATGTTCTATTAATAATATGAACCTGCAAAAGTAACAAGTAACTCATCTTTTCAAATACATGTAGTCGAGAGTTTTAGCTAGTTTACTTCACTTTATCAAGTAGAGAAAACTGCTGTCCCGCCCATACTAATACAGTCCTAAGTGGTACACACACAGCCCCTGTATATTCTCTAATGCTCCGGGGTTAGGTTGAAAGTGTCACATGTTGATGCTGGCAGGGCTCCTGCGGTCCACCTCGTGTTTGGTGAACTTATTCATTTAGGAGTGAAGAGTCAAATGTGATATGTATCATGCACTCTGTCTACCGGGTCAAGCACAGTAATATATAACATGTTCTGTTGGGTTAGTTTGAACATACTACATCAGTGTGTGACAGACACTTTCTGCTCAGTCTGACGCTTATAACAAATACCAACTGGTTATTATCACAATCAAAAGTGTTGATTGAGCACGTGTTTGTTTAAATGTCTATCTGTGTAGCTGTACTTTCAGCACTTCAGGAGGGTCTCAGGTTTCAAGTGTGTTCACTTCCTGTAGGATCCAAGCGATGGCTGGACTGGAGGAGAGAGATCGAGCTGCTGTCAGACCTGGCATACTACGGTTTAACCACATTGTCAGGTCATTAAGAAAGCTCACTTTACTATGTTTAACAAATGTGTTATTGTAACTCATCTGTGAGAACTGCTATCACACTGCTGTGTACATGCTTCTCTTATTTGAATACTGCTACTGGTACTCTTTGTGGTCCACCTGGATATGTCTTTTTGTAACTTGTAATTCTTCTATGTTATGCATGCCTCCTCTTAATGAATGTGTTTGCAGCTCTTTTGCTGTAACGATGTCATTTCCCCTCTGGGACCATTAGAGGTTTTCTCATTCTGATAGTTAGTTGTCTTGTGATTGTCCTTCTCCCCCCCAGGTTACCAGACCCTGGGCGAGGAGTACGTCCACATGGTCCAGGTGGACCCCACTAAACACCGGGTCCCCTCCCGGGCCAGGCGGAGCCTCTTTGTCCTCCTCCACTCCTTCTTCCCTTACCTGCTGGAGAAGGTGCTGGTGAGCCTGGAGAACGAGCTGGAAGGCGGGGGGGCGAGGCAGCGGCAGGCAGCGTCCCGGTCCTGGAGCCTGGAGGCCTGGCTGAGGAGGGGGGTGCAGAGGGGGGTGGGGCTGCTGCCGGAGCCCCAGAGGAGGGCCTGCCTCCCGGCTGTGTCTGTCCTCCGGCAGGCTCTCACCCTGCTGCAGCGCCTCCATGTGGCTCTGTTCTACCTCAGCGGCTCCTTCTACCACCTGTCCAAGAGGGCGGCTGCCATCACATATGTACGTCATGTAGATTTCTTTACATGTCATTTATAGCACATATTAGACCAAGTAGAAGCATGTTTTTTTATTTTGTAAAATTCTGATCCACGAGAAGGCCCTATGTCTGCATTCATACTCTCACTCTCTCAACCAAACATCCAGCGCTGGAATGTAATTAAGTATGTACTGAACGTTTTAGGTATTATACAATACTTTATACTTCTACTATATTACATTTTGGAATCAAAATTGTACTTAATGCCACTACATGTATCTGACAACATGTGTTACTGCTTATACAACATATAAATCAACCAATGAATTATGATGTACTTATATGGATTAAGATCTCCTGTAAAAAGTCACAAAGTAATTTAGCTCCATTTTTATTAACTGCAAAATGTAAATAATGACCACATGAATAGATCACCAGTAATGTTTCCCAAAATGACCGTTCTGCTAAAACTTTAGTAAGTTTACTTCAGTAAAGTAATGAATGCAGGTCTTTTTTCTTGTGAGTATTTCTACATTGTAGTATTATTCATTTTCATTTAGTAAAAGATCCAAGTTCTTCTTCTGCCTCTACTAAGTACATATTTGAGGTACTTGTACTTCAGTTGAGTATTTTTTGAATGATGCTACTTTATACCAATATTGTACTTTCTAATCCACTAATGTATTTTACAAGATGAGTTGCTTGGCATATTGAGGATATTAATACACATTGTGAATCCACTAAGGTTATATCATTCTATTATATAATGTATTATCGACCAACAGTATTTAGTTATTAGAATGAGCTCCACCTTTACCAGGTTCACATTGAAGTGACACATTATTGCATCAATAATTGTAATACAATAATAAAACATGAGACTGAAATTGGTCATACTACATAAGAAGCTCTTTTAATCTATGCTTTGAGTATATTTTGATTCTAGTTTTACCTGAGTAAAAGATCTGAGTACTTTGTATATCAGAGGTCATGTGTTTGCTACCGCCACTATGTGTTCATTAGTAATTACAGTCACAAGGGGCTGGACTGTAAATGTTTTTTGGATTGTTTGGGCTTTTGAGTTAAGTGCATGACGAGGTCACCACTAAGGGTGTGTGTTTGTGTGTGTATAGCTGCGTGTGGCGGGGCTCCAGGGCGATGACGGCACCATCAGGAGCAGCTACAGGCTCCTGGGGGCCCTGTCCCTGCTGCAGCTCCTCATCACTGTGAGTCTGCAGCTCAACAACTACAGGAAGAAGCAGAGAGCCCGGCAGGAGTGGCAGCTCCACAGGAACCTCAGGTGCACACTGCCAGAGAACACACACTCTCTAAACCTGCATTCAAAGTACTCATCCTTAATCTGAAGGCTCATCTTTCAGTGACATGTGTTGTTACTTACTTAGAGTTCTTCTTCAAACCAATCAAACCTGGCCAATAGTTGTTCATATTTCCTGCAGCACAGTTCTGGCAATTGTTGTTTGTTTTCTTATAAACAATATATTTATTGACTTTCCTTCATTTCTACAAACTCTGTAATGACACAACCAACACATGACAAATACATATCTGATCTTTCTCAAGGGAACTAACTCAAATATGACTTTAAAGGAAACATATTCTGTTCACCTTCATATTAGTATGTAGTGTCTCTACGGTGACTACTACGTCTCCATGCTTTAAGGTTCAAAAGGTGTCCAGAGCCTAGTCTGCTCTGATTGGTTAGCTGGCTCTGTTGTGAAAGGAAAGGGAAAGCCCCAAAGAGCATAATAGGGTAGTAATATGTTTTTACCAGCAAAAAAAGAAGTACATCATATAATGTGCGGCTGTGGCTCAATGGTTTGGTGTGCTGGTCTTCGGATCAGTGGAGCACTGGTTCAATCCCTGCTGCAGTCAGCATGTGGTTGTGTCCCTGGGCAAGACACCTCGCCCCACTTTGCTCCTGTGGGGATTACCCACAGTGTGTGTAAGTCACATGAGACTTACAACACATGTGGTGACATGTGTTGTAAGTACATGTCATGTAATACCATCATTTACTAGCAGCAGTCGTTAGATTTCTACGTAGCAAACCTAAGATCAAAGACACAGGGTTGGGAGGGTTGCTTTGTAAATGTAATCCGTTACTGATTACTGAATGGCTCTGAAAGTAATCTGAATACAGTTCCAGTTACGCGTCTTAAAAAAGTAACGTAATCAGATTACTTTTGGATGACTTTCTTTTTCCATCACAGATGGGTATGTTTTGGTGTAGCCTACAGGAGACACAAAGCAAAAGGAAACTGAACGTGTTTTTACTGTTTTAATGGTTTATAAAGAGCACAACTGAAACATCACATCTGAAACGATGTAACAACATAATACACTTTCTGGGGATGCAGCTTGGGATGTGAGGAGTGAGGGACACGGCTTAGAACGAGCGTGTCGCCTTCTGTCCTGACAGTGTTGGCAGGACATGAATTAAAATGTCGAACTCGGACTTCATTTTAAGGACATTACGGCCAGGGGTGTAGTCGAGCTATATATGTTTAAGCACCGGATTGGCAAAACAGGAGAGTGTGTGCACCAGTCTGCCTTGATCTATGAATTCATGTCCGTGACTCTCACAGTATCTGCTGCCCGCAGCTGTTTTATAGAAGGAAAACCTCCTTCACTTCATGAAATCTCTGCAGCGCCAGGAGGCAGCGGGAGGGTTAACTCAGCCTCTGAGAAGACGAGCACGCAGTGCCTTTCACGCACCGCCTTCACTGTGTTTACCTTCAGAATCATTAGAAAGGCTAAAGAGCGGTGTGGCTGATGTGTTTTAACCACACACACCTCTACACACACACACACACACACGATTTAAACGCAGACTTTTGTTCCTCCATGTTTCGCTGTTATTGTTTCACTGAGCGGACCCGCCCCTTTTTTTTCAAACGCTCCCTTTTTTGGTCCATCTGCGGCGGTAATAGGTTTTGTGGGCTGTGATGATTCGGCTGTACCTTTAGTAATGAATATTAAATGTTGTGAGGAAATCTTTCCACCAATAATTCCAATAAGTAATCCAAAATGTATTCACTTCAGGTTTACGAAAGTAACTGTAATCAGATTACTCGTTTTTCAAATGTAACGCGAGCTGAATACAGTTACTTGATTTTTGTATTCTGATTACGTAATGCTGTTACATGTATTCCGTTACAACCCAACCCTGGCCACACCATATCTAAATGTGGGTTAGATCCATTGGATCTAATATTGTAGACGGGTATTGTGCAGTTTACAGGTGATGAGTCACGGTACCTACTTTGGTTCTACATGGTTGACATAAAGGGGACGGTGAGGAGCTGAAACTGTGCCTGATTAGGGGATATTTGTATCCCGTCTTGTATTCTAAACTGGATTGCTTTGGATTTGGCACATATGGATATATTCTTGTCATAATTCCACATATCTTCCCATGTCAACTAATTGATAGTATGGTAACATTTAGTTGAAAGAATTTAGTTACACAATTTCTTTAGGTCTTAAGTGAACTATTAATACGATTGAGAATGCTGATTGTACTCCCTTAGAATCACCATGTGTGTATCAGCGCCTCACCCAGGCTACCGTGAATTCTTGAAGACAAAACACGAAACTTTTTCTTCAAGAATTCATTGGGTGTATTATTGATTTAAAAAAATATCTGGGGGGTGAAGTATTTCTTTTAGAATTGAACTTTATATAGAAGTGTTGTGCTGCAGTCAAAATTGTAAAAAGTCTGATGCTGAACTTTTTGTCTGCAGTCCTCAGCACACACACAGCGGGGGGGGGCCCCAGGGGGCCAGCTGTATGCTCTGCCTGGAGGAGCGCAGACACTCCACCTGCACGCCCTGCGGACACCTCTTCTGCTGGGAGTGCATTACAGAGTGGTGCAACACCAAGGTCAGCTGCAGCACACCCACTCTCAAGCACATCTCAGAATAGAAGCTTATTACCAAGTAGGTTCACTCACCAGGAGTTTGCTTTGCTGTAAATGATGCATACAAAGACAAAAATAGAAGAATATGGTTTATTTTTTTAAAGACAGGAGCAAAATAAAGTACTATTATAAAAGCTATTTCAAAGACTATTGTAACTATTTGAAAATTAAGGACCATATTTACACAAAATATAAATATGTAAGGAACTGAGTACAGTAAAATGAATTAGGACAAATACTATGAACAAAATAGAAAGCGATGCAAGTTTTAAAAGAGTTAGTGTGCAACTTGTTAAAAGGGTTGTGCAGGATTTACAGTATTCAGTACTCGCAGTATGATGTGCATTAGTGTAATGTTATTCTGGGCTGGACAGTAGTCGGTGGGGGGGGCCGGGCCTGGTTGATGAGGGGAAGAAAGTGTTCAGGTGGAGAGAGGTGTTGGTCCTGATGGAGCGCAGCCTCCTGCCATGAATGGAAAGACAAGAGTGTTATTTAAAGAGCTTACTGTCCATCCATCCATCCATCTTCTCCCGCTTATCCGTGGTCGGGTCGCGGGGGTAGCAGTTCCAGCAGAGAGCCCCAAACTTTCTTTTCCCTGGCGACATCAACCAGCTCTGACTGGGGGATCCCAAGGCGCTCCCAGGCCAGCGAAGAGATATAATCCCTCCACCTGGTCCTAGGTCTACCCCTCGGTCTCTTCCCAGCTGGAAGTGCCTGGAACACCTCCCTAGGGAGGCGCCCAGGTGGCATCCTAACTAGGTGCCCGAACCACCTCAACTGGCTCCTTTCGACGCGAAGGAGGAGCGGTTCAACTCCGAGTCCCTCCCTGATGACCGAACTTCTCACCTTATCCCTAAGAGAGACACCAGCCACCCTGCGGAGAAAACCCATCTCGGCCGCTTGTATCCGGCGCTTTCTGTCCAACTCTATTAAATATTCTGCCCCCAAAAAATGTATCACAAGGTACGCAGAGGTTTTCATGTGTCATCTTGTTATCAGAGTGCACTGACAAGTGTGAGAAGCACGAAACAAGCACATTACTTTGAAAGGGATCACATTTCAAGCTTTCTTGACGATGCATTGAACGCTAACTTTTTTGACTCACTTCAATTAGCTGACACTTTGATCCACAACCAATTAAGATGATCATTTTCAACATGCCTAAAAGCTAAGTGCTTCAAACTGAAGTGAGATTTGTGTTTATCGGCCAAGGTGCAGTCGAAACAGCTGGCTTTTCAGTTTGCGATGGAAGATTTGTAGACTTTCTGTTGCCCCGGTAACAATGGGTAGCTCGTTCTACCATTTTGGAGCAAGATAGTAGACAGGTGTGTTTTATAGCTGAGGGGCTCGATTGGCTGTTGCAGAGTGAAGTGCACGTGCTGGAGTGTTTGGTTTAACCATGTCCTGGATGAAGGAAGACCGGATCCCCTCACAGCACGGTAGGCCAGCACCAGTGCCTTGAAGTGGGTTCAGGCAGCGGAGGAGGGGGGTAGTGTGGGAGAATTCTGGGAAGGGTTCAAACCGGTCGGGCTCCTGCATTCTGAATTAGCTGCAGAGGTGGGATGCAGGAAGTCCAGAGCTGTGACAGTGAGATGACAGGAGCCTGGACCAAAACATACAGTAGGTCACCTTCTCAGTCAGTAGATGTATCCTCCTGATGTTGTAGAGTGCATCTATAGGAGTGGGTTGTAGCAGTGATGTTAGAAGGGAAGTTCAGCTGGTCGTCCAGGGTCACACCCAGAATCCTTTGCAGTCTGACTCTACAGAGGTGCTGATGAAAGGTCATGGATGGAAGGGTCCTTACCTGGAGGAAGAGCAGCTCTGTCTTGTTTAGGTTAGATAAGCAGAGCTTCCTTTTTCATGTATTGTTGAGATTCCTTTTTTAATGAAGTCCAATGAGGACACCACACTTTGTCACCCTGCGTGGCCACACCCCCTCTGATCAGGGTAACACTGAAACTGCCGGGCAGCAGCAGAAAGTGCCACACTTCCCCCTTTAATCATTGACATTAAGTGGTCTATAAATGCCCCCAAAAGTCAGAGGCAATCCAAAGCACTTCCTCTCTTAGTTTAAAACAATAACTAAATGTAATCCAAAAACACATTAAGACAGGAAGCCTCAAACAGAAGAGCCATTAAAACCCTAACATATTTAACAGCGCTTTCTAGCAGTTAAAAGGAACATCTGTCTTTCTTCTAACCAGAGCACAGAGCCATGTTGAAAACATCACATCATGCTTATGTTCTGTCAGTCTTCAGCCAACACTCACTAAGATCAACAAACCTCTGAATTAGCAAGTGCCCAAACTTTCAGATGAAAGATGTCTGTTTTCTGGTTAATGTGCTCTCCACAAGCTGCCGTTTGTGTTCAGCCAAATAAGAAACAATGATCTAGCCCATCGTGATATCAAAATCTTACAATACAACATTTGATGCTTCTCATAACAATGCTTTAGGTTACTGGCATGTGGCACAGTCCAAATGACTCAGAGCTTCATTGCACTCTAAATCACTCTGCCTTTGTTTGTCTTCAGATAATTCAAGATAAAACCTTAAGTGAAATAAATGTCAGTTTATTATACAAAATACAAATGGCGGGTTGAAGTTGACTTGGCATTGATTAAAACTACACCAAATATATGAAGGTTAAAAAACTCATTTGTGATGCGTGTTGCGCAGGAAGTGGGGTGGTGGAGGGTTGCCGGGGGCTCTGGTAGGGTCATCTGATGTACTGATGGGGGGCACACCATCCACTGGTTAAAGCTTTCATTTTTAACCGTCAGGAAAATGTGCTCTTTATTCTAGAGACTGCCCACTGTGTGCACAGCTGCTAATGAAGCTCTGTTTAAGGGACTACGCGCTGTCCCTCTCTACGCACTGTCCCTCTCTCTACACTGTCCCTGTCCCTCTCTACACACTGTCCCTCTCTACACACTGTCCCTGTCCCTCTCTACACACTGTCCCTCTCTACACACTGTCCCTCTCTACGCACTGTCCCTCTCTACACACTGTCCCTGTCCCTCTCTACACACTGTCCCTGTCCCTCTCTACACACTGTCCCTGTCCCTCTCTACACACTGTCCCTCTCTACACACTGTCCCTCTCTACGCACTGTCCCTGTCCCTCTCTACACACTGTCCCTCTCTACACACTGTCCCTCTCTACGCACTGTCCCTCTCTACGCACTGTCCCTCTCTACGCACTGTCCCTGTCCCTCTCTACACACTGTCCCTCTCTACGCACTGTCCCTCTCTACGCACTGTCCCTCTCTACGCACTGTCCCTCTCTACGCACTGTCCCTGTCCCTCTCTACACACTGTCCCTGTCCCTCTCTACACACTGTCCCTCTCTACGCACTGTCCCCTCTCTACGCACTGTCCCTGTCCCTCTCTACACACTGTCCCTCTCTACGCACTGTCCCTCTCTACGCACTGTCCCTCTCTACGCACTGTCCCTGTCCCTCTCTACGCACTGTCCCTCTCTCTACACTGTCCCTGTCTACGCACTGTCCCTGTCTACGCACTGTCCCTCTCTCTACACTGTCCCTCTCTACGCACTGTCCCTCTCTACGCACTGTCCCTCTCTCTGCACTGTCCCTCTCTACGCACTGTCCCTCTCTCTACACTGTCCCTCTCTCTGCACTGTCCCTCTCTCTGCACTGTCCCTCTCTACCCACTGTCCCTCTCTACGCACTGTCCCTCTCTACGCACTGTCCCTCTCTACGCACTGTCCCTCTCTACGCACTGTCCCTCTCTACGCACTGTCCCTCTCTCTGCACTGTCCCTCTCTCTGCACTGTCCCTCTCTACGCACTGTCCCTCTCTACGCACTGTCCCTCTCTACGCACTGTCCCTCTCTCTACACTGTCCCTCTCTACCCACTGTCCCTCTCTCTGCACTGTCCCTCTCTCTGCACTGTCCCTCTCTACCCACTGTCCCTCTCTACGCACTGTCCCTGTCCCTCTCTCTGCACTGTCCCTCTCTACCCACTGTCCCTCTCTCTGCACTGTCCCTCTCTCTGCACTGTCCCTCTCTACACACTGTCCCTCTCTACGCACTGTCCCTGTCCCTCTCTACACACTGTCCCTCTCTACGCACTGTCCCTCTCTACGCACTGTCCCTGTCCCTCTCTACACACTGTCCCTCTCTACTGTCCCTCTCTAACGCACTGTCCCCTGTCCCGCTCTACGCACTGTCCCTCTCTCTACACTGTCCCTGTCTACGCACTGTCCCTGTCTACGCACTGTCCCTCTCTCTACACTGTCCCTCTCTACGCACTGTCCCTCTCTACGCACTGTCCCTCTCTCTGCACTGTCCCTCTCTACGCACTGTCCCTCTCTCTACACTGTCCCTCTCTCTGCACTGTCCCTCTCTCTGCACTGTCCCTCTCTACCCACTGTCCCTCTCTACGCACTGTCCCTGTCCCTCTCTACGCACTGTCCCTCTCTCTACGCACTGTCCCTCTCTACGCACTGTCCCTCTCTACGCACTGTCCCTCTCTCTGCACTGTCCCTCTCTCTGCACTGTCCCTCTCTACGCACTGTCCCTCTCTACGCACTGTCCCTCTCTACGCACTGTCCCTCTCTCTACACTGTCCCTCTCTACCCACTGTCCCTCTCTCTGCACTGTCCCTCTCTCTGCACTGTCCCTCTCTACCCACTGTCCCTCTCTACGCACTGTCCCTCTCTACGCACTGTCCCTCTCTACGCACTGTCCCTCTCTACGCACTGTCCCTCTCTGCACTGTCCCTCTCTGCACTGTCCCTCTCTCTGCACTGTCCCTCTCTACGCACTGTCCCTCTCTACGCACTGTCCCTCTCTACGCACTGTCCCTCTCTACGCACTGTCCCCTCTCTACGCACTGTCCCTCTCTACACTGTCCCTCTCTACGCACTGTCCCTCTCTACGCACTGTCCCTCTCTACGCACTGTCCCTCTCTACGCACTGTCCCTCTCTACTGCACTGTCCCTCTCTCTGCACTGTCCCTCTCTACTGCAACTGTCCCTCTCTACGCACTGTCCCTCTCTACTGCACTGTCCCTCTCTCTGCACTGTCCCTCTCTACTGCACTGTCCCTCTCTACGCACTGTCCCTCTCTCTACGCACTGTCCCTCTCTACGCACTGTCCCTCTCTCTAACCACTGTCCCTCTCTACGCACTGTCCCTCTCTCTAGCACTGTCCCTCTCTACTGCACTGTCCCTCTCTACGCACTGTCCCTCTCTACGCACTGTCCCTCTCTACGCACTGTCCCTCTCTACGCACTGTCCCTCTCTACGCACTGTCCCTCTCTCTGCACTGTCCCTCTCTCTGCACTGTCCCTCTCTCTGCACTGTCCCTCTCTACGCACTGTCCCTCTCTACGCACTGTCCCTCTCTCTGCACTGTCCCTCTCTCTGCACTGTCCCTCTCTACGCACTGTCCCTCTCTACGCACTGTCCCTCTCTACGCACTGTCCCTCTCTACGCACTGTCCCTCTCTACGCACTGTCCCTCTCTCTACGCACTGTCCCTCTCTCTACACACTGTCCCTCTCTCTACGCACTGTCCCTCTCTACGCACTGTCCCTCTCTCTACACTGTCCCTCTCTCTGCACTGTCCCTCTCTACGCACTGTCCCTCTCTACGCACTGTCCCTCTCTACGCACTGTCCCTCTCTACGCACTGTCCCTCTCTCTACACTGTCCCTCTCTACGCACTGTCCCTCTCTACGCACTGTCCCTCTCTACGCGCTGTCCCTGTCCCTCTCTACGCACTGTCCCTCTCTACGCACTGTCCCTCTCTACGCACTGTCCCTCTCTACGCACTGTCCCTCTCTACGCACTGTCCCTGTCCTCTCTACGCACTGTCCCTCCTCTACGCATGTCCTTGTCCCTCTCTACGCACTGTCCCTCTCTACGCACTGTCCCTCTCTACGCACTGTCCCTCTCTACGCACTGTCCCTCTCTACACACTGTCCCTCTCTCTACGCACTGTCCCTCTCTCTACACACTGTCCCTCTCTCTACACACTGTCCCTCTCTCTACACACTGTCCCTCTCTACACACTGTCCCTCTCTACACACTGTCCCTCTCTCTCACTACACCAACTGTCCCTCTCTACACCTGTCCCTCCTCTCTCACACACTGGTCCCCTCTCTCTCCACACTGTCCCCTCTCTACACACTGTCCCTCTCTCTACACACTGTCCCTCTCTACACACTGTCCCTCTCTACACACTGTCCCTCTCTACACACTGTCCCTCTCTCTACACACTGTCCCTCTCTACACACTGTCCCTCTCTACACACTGTCCCTCTCTACACACTGTCCCTCTCTCTACACACTGTCCCTCTCTACACACTGTCCCTCTCTACACACTGAGTGTTGTTTCTCCCTCCCACAGGCGGAGTGCCCCCTGTGTCGGGAGAAGTTCGAGCCCCACAGACTGGTGTACCTGAGGAACTGCAGCTAGCACACAGACTGGTGCACCTGAGGAACTGCAGCTAGCACACAGACTGGTGCACCTGAGGAACTGCAGCTAGCACACAGACTGGTGCACCTGAGGAACTGCAGCTAGCACACAGACTGGTGCACCTGAGGAACTGCAGCTAGCACACAGACTGGTGCACTGATGCGTGTTAACCCTCTCAGGAACACGTGGAGACACAACAGAACTTTGTGCCAACATTCTGCAGTTCTTTAAGTATAAACCTTTAGCTTATTATTATTATTTTTTTTTTATGAACTGCCTCTTTTGTTTATTTTCCACAGAAGTAGCTGATTGAGAATAACATTATTGATTGTATCAGTCGAAATCGTGTAAATATAACCTTTTAATTCATTAAAAACCTTTGATTGGAATAAAATATGGGTCAAATATGTTGCTATTGCTCATGAGGTTTTTAATTAGGGTAAGACGGACATGTTTTTGATTTAAGATGTAGTTGCCCTACGGTATTTATTATCTTAACATTCACAGATGTTTTTAGTCTTCTTCTTTTGCTATAAAAGCTTGACTGTTGTATAATACAAGCCGTGTCGAAAGATGCGGTCACAAAACTACAGATGCATAAAGATCAGAATGCAGGTCAACTGAGATGAGCATTACTCTATTTAAAGGTCCCATGTCATGCTTTTCCGGTTATCACCCATCCCCTTGTGTGTTATGTAGCTTGCTCTGCATGTAAACGGTCTGCAGAGTCACAAACCCTCAAAGTACACCCTGTAGCGAGTAAAACTCTAACACAGAGAAGACCTGTCTGTGCTGCCCCAGAACGCCTCGTTGGACATTTCTCTTTTTCCATTGGTTGCTTCCTGGGTTCTGTGACGTCCAAATGGACCAATCCGTGGAGCCGTCACGTTAAGTCTCAAGACTCAATCTTTTCTCAGCTGCAGCTCCGCCGATTTCTCCTCCCTGAGACGGCGGGACGCGGCGAGGCTGTGAGTCGGTGTGTGAGCCCTGAATTTGCTTTGTAGTTCTGCATCAGGTGTCACAAAAAAGTCACATTTTTTAAAGATTTGTCTTCAAATCAACATATATAAATACGCAGATGACACAACAATAACAGGACTCATCTCAAATAATAATGAAACACAATACCTCACTCAGATCCATCAAGCAGTCACCTGGTGCTCAGAAAACAACCTCCTACTTAACACAGCAAAAACCCAAGAAATAATCATCGACTTCAGGCGAAAGCCACAGCCCAAATCACCTCTATCTATCTCTGGCAAACTCATTTCCACCACAGAATCACTCAAATTTCTTGGCACTCACATAAGTAATAACCTCAAATGGAAGACCAACACAGACCACATATACAAAAAAGCCAACCAAAGGCTATTCTTTCTGCGGCAGCTCAAGAAATACAGAGTGAGGAAACATCTCCTAATCCAGTTCTACACAGCCATCATCCAAAGCATCCTCACATCATCCATCACAGTCTGGTACAGCAGTTCAGACAACCTCTCCCGGAATAAACTTCAACGTATCGTCAATAAAGCATCAAAAATCACCTGCAGTCCCCTTCCATCACTCGAATCACTTCACCACCGACGAACTGTCACAAGGGCAAAGAAAATCATTTCTGACCCCTCCCACCCAGGTCACCATGTCTTCCAACTTCTGCCCTCAGGGAGGCGCTACAGGTCACTGTCCGCCAAAACCGCCCGCTTCAAAAACAGCTTTTTCCCCTTTGCAATACGGACACTAAATGGACTCTAAATAACCCCAATGAACAATAACAATCCACCACACCTTGCACTTTATGTTATGATTAATGCTGTCAAAATTATCGCGTTAACGGCGGTAATTAATTTTTTGAATTAATTGCGTTAAAATATTTAACGCATTTAACGCATGTGCAGAATGGCCCGCCCCATACATCCCACCAGTGGCAGCGCCAGGGTATGGCTGGGGTAGGCTACACCCATACCAAGAAATGGCTTAGCCCCACCATGAAAAATGATGTTAAAGTAAGCAAAATAAAGTCTGCCAACTCGTGCGGAGTAAATTGCACAGACAGCAGTTAGTAAGATTGATTTCATTAGCCACGGTTTTGAAAACTTTTGTCACGTAGTGATCGTCTTCTCAATAGAACATCTTTGATAACGGCGTGGTGTTGTTGCAGGAAGTCCCGACGGAGAATACTTTTGCTGTAGTACAGGGGTGCACATAACTGGTACGCAGGTTATGTGCGTAATCTGAAATGCGTACCGTCACTTGTGTCACAAAGCGCATTTGCGTACCGACGTATACTTGTGAAGCTTTTCCAGAAGGCGGTTAGATCACCGGACGACAGAGTCGGTCTCCGTGTGCACAGACAGGGCTGCTGTTAACGTCGGTCTGTACAACGGAATTGTGCCAAAACTACGCCAACCGGCTGCGGAAGGAGACTCCCCCCCTTCACTGGAGAACTGCGCTAAAACAGCTGATCACAACGTTCACACTCTGTGGTCACGAAGTACTCCACTAGGCGCGCCCCCCCCCCCCCCCCCCTCTGTCGACTTTCCTGAAGTACTACCCCGTTGATATAAATCAACACGTAATGTATCAAGACCCCACGGTTTGATGACTGATAGGTGTGTGGGTTGTCTTTCATTTTGTCACGCAGAAAAATGTTATAATAAACAGATACTGTATGTTAAATGGATATATCCGCCTTCTTTCATTTATCTTTCCATTCCCACAACAATATACATAAAGAAATGGCATATTTTGGACATAGTTCGAATGGTGATTAATCATGATTAATTAATTTTTAAACTGTGATTAATCTGATTAAACATTTTAATCGTTTGACAGCCGTTATGATATGTCTTTGCCCTGTGCTGTGTGTTGTACTTGTTATTGTCTGTTTATTGTATGGAACAAGCTGTAATACACTGCACTGAACACAAATTCCACCAGCCTGGCTGTGTGGTCATTAAAGATTCTAATCTAATTTAATCTAAATATCTCTGGAGACCTTTGCACACCTCCCTAAACTCACATTCAGCAACAACTTGTCTTGTTCTGTTGTGTTTTATAATGTCAGTGTTAGAACCTCTCTCTCACACTTTACATGTTCATAAGAACTCTTAGGTCACGAGATGGAAAAGAAGATAAGGTCAAAGAACTCCAACCCAACGGATGATCATTTTAAGAGTGCTAAATCTCAATAAATGACAAGTGTTCAAACCTCTGCAGTCTTACACAGGCAGAGAGCAGTTACTTCAAAAACAAGGTAAAGGCTTTGTAGTTAATACCTAATAACCCGGAGCCGGCTTCAGGTGATTCAATTGTACTTAAATGGTGCAAAATGTCCCCAAAACAATACGATTTTTCACTTTTTGCCATTAGAACAATCTGAAACAGCTGACATAATCTGACTCTCCACATGAAGAAATTCCAAAGATGCACCACTGTATCTGCATTTTGCTGTGCAGCCTTGTGTTGCAGAATAACAATACATTATCCTTTAACACTTAAATATGTTATTGCTTCTACATTGTCCATTTGTTATAGCTATGAAATGTGATTGTATACAGTCGAATGTGTTTATGTTAAATACAGTATTGCATCTGCAGATATTAGTCTAAGTGAGTAGTGTAGTGAAAAACGGTACATTTAGTAAAGAAAGAAATGTGACCACCCTGTATTGTACAAAACACAAATTCAGTATAATAATACATGTACACCGTTACAGTAAAGCAGAGACAATGTAAAGAACACAGTAAAGCTGTTTTACTGTTAAACATCTTACAGTACTGCCAATGAGTAACCACAAACACAATACAACCTCTAACAGTGCACAGACCAGAGGTTCAAGTATCAATCAGACCCTTGTTTGTGCTGCTCTGGTGATCCACGGTGATGTCAGGAACATTTCAGAGTCTACAATCATAGCCTTTTAAAAACGTCCCATAACACAATAGGCTGCTGTCTGTGAAGCCATGTGTCTCCAGCCTGCCCCCCCAGGCATCTGAAAAGAAACCTTGTATTTGGCATGACTCTTAGACAGTGCTAAGGTAAGTGTGATATGGAGAGAATGGGATGTGTGCAGACAGGTTCAGGCTCTGTTTGTTGTGGATGCTTAGTGATAGACATACAGTCATATCTCACACACAGTCTTAACTTCTCCTGCAGTGAGACGACCTGAGAGGATGCTGTCACTCAGCTGAAGTCTATTAACCTGCTGTTCTCCAGTTGATTTTTAAATGTACAATGATGCGTAAGGTTCATCATTTCATAAAGAGAGACAGGGTACATATCATTGGATTTGTTTGTGTTATATTGAGACAACATATTTATGAAGCAACATTAGAATTCATTTGGAGTGTGTTTGAGTCCGCTTTACCAAAGTACTTGTGATGGAAATATCTGTCTTGTATCCACAAAGGTGTGTGTGTGTGTGTGTGTGTGTGTGTGTGTGTGTGTGTGTGTGTGTGTGTGTGTGTGTGTGTGTGTGTGTGTGTGTGTGTGTGTGTGTGTGTGTGTGGGTGTGGGTGGGTGTGGGTGGGTGTGTGTGTGTGTTCTAGCATTACTATACTTGTGGGGACCTCAATCTGTTTACACAGTCACGTGTGGGGACTCGCCTCCCTTATGGGGACATAATGGAGGTCCCCATAAGGGGAATCATTCATTTTAGGGTGAAGACTTGGTTAGGGTAAGGGTTAGGCATGTGTTGGTTATGGTTAAGGTTAGGATAAGTCTCCAGGAAATGCATGTAAGCCAATGTCATGTCCCCTGAAGTGATGTATACATGGTGTGTGTGTGTCTTATGTGCACACAGCTAATATTATGAATATTCAGTTCATTTAGGATGGGTTACAGGGTTCACCCTTGGTTGTGCAGTCTGATGGCTACAGGCACAAAGGACTGTCCGGAGCGCTTAGTGCTGTGCTGAGGAGGGATGAGTCAGTGTAGTCCAAACACACTTCAGAAACTTCTCAAATCTAGCAGGTTCGTTTCAAAGGAACATTAGCAGCTAAACTCGACATTAATGATTTTCTGAAGTTTTCCCATAGCTGAGGCTAGCTGCCAGCCCTGAAGAGTGTTCACACCCAACATCCAGGCCTCACACACCTGGTGGCTCCTCTGTGATGACACCTAGCCAGGTCCCTCTCTCTGCTGACACCTAGCCAGGTCCCTGTCTCTTCTGACTCCTAGCCAGGTCCCCCTCTCTGCTGACACCTATAGGCCCCCCTCTCTGCTGACACCCAGCCAGGTCCCTGTCTCTTCTGACTCCTAGCCAGGTCCCTTTCTCTGCTGACTAAAACCCCCCGTGTTCCCTCCAGAGGGAGTTTCTTATAAATACCTTTTTGAATATTACGCATGTAAACATGTCACAGTTGAGGCAAAAAATACAAGCATTAACCTGAACATTTGCATAATATGACCTCCTTAACTCATATTCTACACATCAACTAAAATACGATTTACACCAAAAGTAAATGACACGTACTTTGCAGAGGAATGGATCAATAGAACAAATCAAATTCACTTGATAAATGATAATGTGTTATTATAGGTTAAGCTAGTATAAAATAAAGTCATTCAAATGAGCTTCACCTTCACCAGATGCAACATTAAAGTGGTGAAAACATGAAGCTATCAATAATTATAATACAATAGTTTAATATGATTCTGAAATGAGCAAAACTGCATAGTGAGTTTTTTTACTTTTGTAACTTTAAGTTTATTATGATAGTGATACTTTAAACGGTAACTTGAATATGACTTAGAGTGCAGGAGTTTTACTGAGTATTTGTACACATTACTCAAGTCAAATATCTTTGGCTTGTTATTTTGTTCAGGAATGTTATTAAGTTGTTCAAACTTGTCGAAGCTTTTTATATCACCAAAGAAAGGATGGTGATGGATGTCATCTCTTTCTTCTCATCGCTGACCTATGGTGTCTGTTTGTGGTCATCGAGCGCCCCCTGCTGGGTTCTAGGATAAACTGCTCTGGGATGTTGTTGAGTTATAGTCACAGGACAAAGAAATACTCACATCTTTTACTTAAGTAAAATGATTATTTCCACAGTGTAGAAATACTCTGTTTCATGTAATATCCCACATTATTTTACTTTAAATAAAATTGCAAAGATATTATATATTACGTGACTGGATTATGATTATTGACGCATTCATTTGTTAAATACTTTAGTTGGAGCTAACTTTAATGACTATACTGCCAGGTATCTTCACACATGAATATACATAATCATTTATTAATAATGTCGAGTAAGAAATACAATATTTGCTTCAAATTGTAGTGGATATATATTTGATATATGATGGGCCATTTATAACAAGTATTTTTTGTTTTTGTACTTATAGTACTATAGCAGTATATGCTGATGTTTAGACTGTTTTACCGTTACTGAAGTAAGATTTTGTATGCAGGGCTCTTACTTGTAACTGAGTATTTCAAATGTTTTGTATAGATACTTTTACTTTAGTACTTCTTCCATCACTGCCTTAAAGCCCCCCCCATTTTTTTCAATGTCTGTTAGACTTGTTCCTTCAACATACAGTACCATCACACTGTGGTGCTGATATGACGGTGTGAAAAGTCTCTCAATATTCTGCAACATTTTTCACATGCAGCAGGAGCAGAAGTATTATATTAATGTTTGAATAAAAACATGTTTTTCAGCATGTAACTGTTGCTTTTTAGGTTGAGTTCTAAAAAGGGGTAGAATGGAGTAGTTTGTTGGTAGGCAGTTATACTTTGTGAAAGATGCCTGTCCGTGGAAACCCTGAACTGAGAAGGTTTTTTGGAAAATGACACTGTGGTCGAGCTCAGATCCCTCCGGTGCATCAGGTAAGAAAGACCCAACACAAACCAAATGAATCAGGAAGCTGAATACATCTGCTTTGAGACACACTGTTTATGTCAAAGTGTTCCCAGCAAACAGATCTAAAACTGAACGTTCAATGCAAAACAATTCATTAACGTTGTTGAACATTTAGCATACCAGTGTCTGTTAGCTGAGGCCAATATAATTACCGTATCTCACCACTCTTAAATCTGTTTTCCTTTCAAAAATAAATAAATCATTGTAAATGAGGTTTGTTCACAGCCCCTGAGGTTCAGCCGGGTCACACTCTGCTCAGCAGCTCCTCTGGTTACTCTGTTCTGGAGTTCATCGGTGAAGGCTGCTTTGGCAGGGTGGCCAGATGCCGAAATCGGGCAACCCAAGAGACCGTGGCTGTGAAGATCCTAAAGAAGGACACAGATTACCTCCAGGACACTGAGAGAGAGGTAGACTTTGGGACTCCTTTTGATTCTTTGAAGACAGTTTCCCTTGCTATGATGACTGGGTCTTCTCCAACAGAGTCTATATTATGAACCCTCTTTTCTCTCCAGGTGGCCATGATGGAGGTCATCAGTGTCCTGAATCCAGACCACAGTAACATGGTGAAGTTCTTTGAGCAGTTTGAACATTTGGGACAGACCTGCCTAGCGTTTGAGATGCTCGACAAGTGTCTCTATCAGATTATGCTAGAGCGATTCTGGATCCCACTGTCTCTGAACGAGATCCTCACCATCGCAGAGCAGGTACGTTCAGTTTTAATGTAGGACCAATGATGTATTGTTCTACATCCACATTGGGCATTAGTGAAGGAAACCTTACATAGTAGTCTAGCCATCTGAGTCCTATTGTGAATCCGGAAAGGCTGAGTACCCCAAAGTTTAATGTTAGAGATGTATAGTTCAGGTCCCCAGCACATAGAAACTGCTTGATGCTAACTTGCATATATTGGGCAATTTGCATAATTAGCATAATGTACGTGAATTACCATTATTTACCATTATAGCTTATGTGGACAGTAGTTCAATGGCTTGGACGGTTTGGACCATTTTGAGGCGCTTTTGGTGGTCATTGGGTATGCTGAGTCCATTTCTGACATGTTCAGGATCAAAATTGGCAGTTTAAAGCATACAATTCCAAATATGTGTACTCTGTGGGCTGATCTTGATTAATGTTTGGATTCAATTTGGAAGATTTAGGGGACTCTGGATCATATCAAGGTGTTTGACAGAAAGCCACATTCATATCACCACTGTACCATCCTTGAAAAACACAATTTCTTGAGTTTTGACAATTTTAAGTCTTTTAAAAGTATGTGCTTTATTTATAAATGTTTACATGGACTGCCCCCCCCCCCCCCCCCCCTTAGGTGAATTAATCCACACAAAAAACACTGGACGCTGCACTAGGTCAGAAACCAGAGGAGGTCCACCGCAGACGGACCACTTTTGTACACAATGTCCTTTCCATTATTAAAGGCAGGTCATTGTGGAATAGCCTCCCAACTGAGATACGGGATTGTCCCACTCTCAATAGCTTCAAAGATCAACTCAAAGAATGGTTGAGAAACAACCAGACGTGTAATCACCGCTAAATGCACTTTAATACAGGGGTATCTCCTCTTGCACTTAATGTAGCTCTTTTATCTTCTCTTGAATTACATAGCTTAGTTCTTACAGTGCAGACGCTTTTCTGCTTGCTCTTGCCTCTGCTTACTTTTTTATGCTGTTTTTCTATTTTTCTTTTCTGATAACTTTGAGTAGCGGCTCCTGGACATTAAATTATCACTGGGACAGTTATTCTTGGTAAATAGACGGAGGGTTTCAGCCATATTTCAATATTTTTACGACGACCTCAGTCTTACAGACCTCAGTCTGTTGCGCTAGCAACAGCTAAAGCCTGATACAGCATGCTATTTAGCTTAAGCTAGATAGCAGCAAAATGCCTCCGTTCTCTACAGATGACTTCCACAAACTTCTACAGAAGAGGGCCGTGTTGGAAATGAAAATGCAACGGTTGGAAGTTAACGTGGAAGTGAATGGACTATGTTGGAATGACACCACTTTAACAGTGTTGCAAAATAATGGACAAAGGCATGCTAACTCACAGCTAGTTAGCAGCTACAAGGATTCCAAGGAACAGGAGGGCTGTGTACCGGGTAATAAATCTACAAGTGATAGTCCTCCCTCGAACTCTCTGGGTGCAAGGCCGAAGAGTAAATCATTTCCATGGGATTTGGGAGGACGAACAACAGGCAGAGCCCAGCGCTCTGAAATCTGTGATGCGACCGGCTGGCCTGCATTGTTATCACCCAGGAAGAGCGCCTCTTCAACCCCTATTCCTACTAGGAAACAGCAGTGGACAGCTGCCGAAGGGAGACCTACAAACAATCCTCCTAAACCACAAGTGTGCCAATCCAGAACAGATACGCTCCGCTGACCGAGAACCGGAGATCTCTTTCTGATGACCTGGATAACCCGTCCTCTTCATACAGCAGGGTAAGGACCAATAGCTACTCCAAAAGTAAAAGGCTAGAGGGAAAGCTAACGACTGGGCCTGAAACTCTGATTGTGGGTGACTCTGCTGTAAGAGATGTAAAAGGTCTGTGTAGTAAGAACAACACCAAAGTACTCTGTTTTCCCAAGGATGTGGTCTCTGACTTGGCTGAGAAGATCCTGCATATTGGGGCTGAACATCAGAATATAAAAAATGTGGTACTGCACATTGGAACAAATGATGTTGTGAAACAACAGTCAGAAGTGCTGAAAGAAGACTTTAAATGTTTGTTGGAAACTGTCAGCTCTAAATGCAGAGGTGTTCATCAGTGGCCCTCTACCACCAGTCAGAAGAGGAGTGGAGAGATTCAGCAGATTGTTTGCACTGAACACCTGGCTTTCAACTGTCTGTATTGACCATTCTGTTCATTTTATTGACAACTTTAACTTTTTCTGGGATCGCAGACATCTTTTCAAGGCAAATGGAGTTTGTCTGAACAAGTCAGGAGTGAAATTGTTTATCTCTAACGTATTCAACTGCCTGCGTCATCAATCCGTTCCCTCTGCCAAGGACAAGCAACAAGAGGAATCAAAACAAGAGAAAGACACAACACATCGCTCAGAAAACCTTGAAAATCTATCACTGCACCCGCCTGAGGAATGTTCTGATTATGGGAGACAAATGGAGGAGTCTCCACCGCCCTTCACCCCCCCCTATCACCTCTAAGGATACTCTTCCTTCACCCCACAGCTCTCTCTACTCTCCGTTCACCCTTTCACCCTCGCCCACCCTCCTGGAGATCGATGAACACACGAAGGAGATACAGAGAGTTGGCACCGATTCCTTCCTGGAGTTCAAAGACCAAACTAAGGCGATGCGCAGGGCTGGCAGCATGTCCTTTACCCCCGCTCCTCAACGACGCCCACCAAAATCACTGCATGGACGCGCACCATCTCCCCCATCTTCATCACCGTACGTCAACCACCTCCCCTCCCTTCAAGAAAGCATCTGCAGTCTCCGAAGCCTGATAAGGATGTGTGTGTACACAACGCAACAAACTCTTACTGATATGTGCTGGGTCCAGGCTCAAGCGCGTATGGCACTCCCAACTCTTTCAAGGACATGTCGGGACCCTGCCTGCCAGTAGCTTTGCCGATATCTGTGTTGATAGGTAATAGATTAAGAGCGGTGAATCAGCTTAGAAACAGGACGTGCTCAAACGTTTGTGTGAGTTTATCAAATTTAGCAGTGATTCCATGTCAGCCACAGCTTGTTACAAACAACCTGACTGATAGTGTATCTAACAAACTTAAACTAGCTTTATTCAATGTCAGGTCTTTGTCAGGTAAAACATTTTTAATCAATGATTTTATCACTGAGCACAATCTCGATTTTGTTTTTAACGGAAACTTGGATTGAACAAAATAACAGTGCAGCTGTTCTTATCGAATCAACCCCTCCCAACTTTAGTTTTATGAGTCAGGAAAGAATGCATAAGAAAGGGGGTGGAGTTGCTATTCTGTTCAATGATTCTCTTCAATGCAGGAAGACATCTTATGGGAACTTTGCTTCTTTTGAATATGTGGCCCTTCAGCTGAAATGCTCCTCTCGAGCTCTGTTCCTAAATATCTATAGACCACCCAAATACTGTGCAAGCTTTTTTCATGATTTTACTGAACTGCTGTCTATAGTGTGTATTGACTTTGACCGTCTAGTCATTGTTGGTGATTTTAACATCCATGTTGACAACCCCCAGGACAGAGGGGCAAAAGAACTGTTTTGTGTTCTTGATAACTATGGACTGACTCAGCATGTGACGGAGCCCACGCACAATAAGGGGCACACTCTGGACTTAATTATCTCAAAGGGTCTGAATATCTCTAAGGTTGTGGTGACTGATGTTGCACTCTCTGATCATTCCTGTGTTTTCTTTGAGAGCTCTATTTCTGTTCACAAAAATGTTCAAAAAGAGGTAACCACAAAGCGATATTTAACTGAAAATACTAGGGAAATGTTTACTCAGAATTTTTCTTTCACACTTGCCCCTGCTAACATCTCAGTAAATGAGCTAGTAGATCATTTTAATTCAAGAATTAAAAATGTTATAGATGCCATTGCTCCAACTAAAGTAAAGGAAGTGACTGGGAAGAAAATATCTCCATGGAGAAAGGCCATGACCGTGAGAGCAGAAAAAAGAGAGTGTCGAAAAGCTGAACGTAGGTGGCGAAAAACAAATCTCCAGGTTCACTTTTAAATCTATAAAGAGAGACTTGGCCTTTATAATTTGGAATTGAAAAACGCACGACAGTCTTTCTTCTCTGACATCATTACCAAAAACCAAAACAACGCACGTGCTTTGTTTGCTACCGTCGACAGACTAACTAACCCCCCAGTTAGTAGCCTCTGAATTTCTATCCACCAGGGCGTGCAATGATTTTTTCTCCTTCTTCACTGACAAAATTCAGAAAATCAGACAAGCAGTCAGTGCCTCTGCATCAGGTACAGCAAATGTGTTGTCCCTATGTCCACCTAATATCAATTCAAACACCATGACACAATTCCATCAGATTAATGATAAAAACCTAGAGGACATTATTCAACTTCTGAAATCCTCCTCCTGCTGCCTTGATATTATTCCAACAGGATTTTTCAAATATGTTTTTCGTTGCATGGCCTCAGATCTACTTCATATAGTAAACAAATCTCTTCAATCAGGTATTTTTCCACAGGCCCTGAAAACTGCAGTCATTAAACCGCTCTTAAAAAAGAATAATATAGATGCTTCAGTAATGAACAATTACAGGCCCATATCAAACCTGCCATTTCTAGGTAAAATCATTGAAAAAGTTGTTTTTCAACAGTTGAGTAATTTCTTGCAATTAAATAACTGTTTCGATGTGTTCCAGTCAGGCTTTCGTCCAAACCACAGCACTGAGATTGCTCTTGTAAAGGTCTTCAATGACATCCACTTAAACACAGACAGTGGCAGAACTTCAGTGTTAGTATAATTAGATCTCAGCGCTGCGTTTGACACTGTTGACCACAACATATTGCTTGACCGACTAGAAAACTGGGTGGGACTTTCGGAAACAGTTCTAAATTGGTTTGAATCCTACTTAAAGGACAGAAAAAACGTTGTTTCTATAGGTGAATACACATCTGAGTTGACAAATATGACATGTGGGGTACCTCAAGGCTCCATCTTGAGTCCTCTTCTCTTTAACATCTACATGCTACCACTGGCTCAGATAATGAAAAACAACAAAATAAGTTACCATAGCTATGCGGATGACACACAAATGTACGTAACAATTTCACCAGGAGACTATTCTCCAATTCAAACACTGAGTAAGTGCATTGAACAAATCAATGACTGGATGTGTCAGAACTTTCTCCAATTAAACAAAGATAAAACTGAGGTAATGGTTTTGGAGCCAAGGCAGAACGTTTAAAAGTTAGCGCTGAGCTTCAGTCTGCAATGTTCAAAACAACAGATAAAGCCAGAAATCTAGGTGTAGTCATGGACTCTGACCTGAGTTTCAACAGTCACATTAAAACAGTTACTAAATCAGCTTACTATCACCTAAAGAATATATCTAGGATTAAAAGACTAATGTCACAGCAGGATTTGGAAAAACTTGTCCTTGCTTTTATCTTCAGTAGACTAGACCAGTGGTTCCCAAACGGTGTGCCGCGGCACACTGGTGTGCCGTGAGGCAAGTCCGGGTGTGCCGTGGGATTTTGTGACAACCATACGTTGTTATTGCAATATACAACTACACAAAAATAATTATTTTTTAATTTACTATATCAGTACTTTTTAGCTTTATATGTACGTAATCTGCGCGATTTGCGCATCCACATCTCCACGTGCAGTGCTACATAAACATGGCTGAGTCAGCGATAACTGTCGAGGGGGAAGGTATGCCCATTACTTTGAGTTCGTCCGAAGAATAGACAGGAATTAGGCCGCAAGGTGAACCTCGAAAAGTCCTTTAGAAAAGAAATCCCGCTCCACAGAAGTGGAACTACATAATCTTTAGTTCATAAAAAAGAACGAGTCATGCTTATCCACCAAAGAAAAGTTCGTCGCTAAAATTCCTGTCAATTCTTCTAGGCACGTAATTATTGGCTGAATTAGTCCCTTCAAAGCGTAATAATATCTTGGTCAAAAGTAGTGCCACGGTTCGTCACGTGATCGTGCTACACCAATTGGGTAGCTGCATATTGTCAACAGAAGTGAAAGATGGCCGCCTACATGGTTACGCTAAACCAGACCAAATGGATTCTAAACAGTGCTGTATGCTTGTTTTATGTCATGTTTTGTCATATGTCTTAATACATCACTAAGTCCGAGGTATTTGCGTTATATACGCGGTATTTGTGAGAGGTTTTACTATCTGGGAACAGAGTTGACCATCGAATCAACATTGGCTAGCAGCGTTTATCAGCCAACTCCAGCTACAACAACATTCCTGGACTACCATGTTCGCATCGCTAGGTTCATTGGCTGAGCTCGTGGATTATTCCATTAGACTGAGGACTTTTTGTCTGTCTGTCTGTTGTTATTGTTACCCTGTACACGTTAAATGCACTCTTAAAATAAACATGACTTGATTTCATACATAGCTGCGTCCAAGAAGAAGGTTAACTTGTTACGTTAAGTAATTTAGATCAATAAAATGCAGTACTTTATTTACTCATTCATCATATAATAATTTGATGAATTACATTATTATTATAGATTATTATTATAGATATATATAGATTATTATTATAGATATATATATAGATTAATATTATAGATATATATATATAATATTATTATAATTATTATTATTATTGTAATATGATAATATTGTATTTGTAACTTCAAAATCAATGCCACCGTTGTAAGCTTGTCCTGTACGTATTCCATCTTGTATTGGTAAAATAATCAACCTTTTCGTTCACAGACGTAATATGCATGTAACAATGTTTGTGTGTTGATAATTTTGACTTTTTGAGACTTTCTGGTGCGTTTTCCTCGTCCCCGCTACTCGATGAAACCATGGCGGTCGCCATTTTTTCCAAATCTGTTTGTTGATACCGGTATATGCAGCTACCCAATTGGTGTAGCACGATCACGTGACGGACCGTGGCACTACTTTTGACCAAGATATTATTACGCTTTGAAGGGACTAGTTCAGCCAATAATTACGTGCCTAGAAGAATTGACAGGAATTTTAGCGACGAACTTTTTTTTGGTGGATAAGCATGACTCGTTCTTTTTTATGAACTAAAGATTGTGTAGTTCCACTTCTGTGGAGCGGGATGAAACGATAACAGGGTTCACCTTATGGCCTAAATGTGACGGTGAGGTGCAAACTGTGTCCAGGCCAGAAGCAAAGAACACATGCTAAGGTGAAGCTAACGCACACGCTATTTGTTGTTTGTTTATATCACGCAGTCTGTTCTTCTTCTCTGTCTTCCGGTTGTTGCCTGTTTTGAATGACAAATACACACTACCGCCGCCTGCTGGTAAGGAAAGTTATTGCCACTCACGCATGCGCAGTTCGTACGTGTTCGGCGAGTAAAGTAACGAGTTACTTTATGTATATAGTAACGAAGTAGTGTAATATATTACTTTTTTAAAAGTAATACATTTATAATTCGTAGTTCAGGACCATGGACAATGCAGCTTCCTTGCATTGACAGTTCTCTGTGCTGAATTTCTGCTGAGTTTCCTTTGCCTCATTTTTAATTGTGTGACCTGTCTGGTTTAAATGAGTGTGTTGCTGCTTTGATGAAGCCTAATTTGATAAAGTTTCAAATTAATTTCTGAAATATTTCGTTAATAAATATTTCACGAGTAATATAGTTGTCTTTGTCACATTTTATTTGGCATTAGTAAATAATTATGCACATTTACAGATATTTTACATGATATGAGTGATAACACGTGTTATAAGGGCTATATTGCACAATAGGTGTGCCTTGAGATTTTTACTTGTCCTTTGGTGTGCCTTGGGCACAAAAAGTTTGGGAACCACTGGACTAGACTACTGCAATGGTGTCTTCACAGGTCTCACTAAAAAATCTATTAGGAAGCTGCAGCTGATTCAGAACGCCGCTGCTCGAGTCCTCACTAACACTAAGAAAGTGGATCACATCACTCCAGTTCTGAAGTCTTTACACTGGCTTCCTGTGTGTCAAAGAATACATTTCAAAATACTGCTGCTGGTTTATAAAGCACTGAATGGTTTAGGCCCAAAATACATTTCTGACCTCCTGCTAAATTATGAACCATCCAGATCTCTCAGGTCTTCAGGGACTGGTCAGCTTTCTGTCCCCAGAGTCAGAACTAAACATGGTAAAGCAGCGTTCAGTTATTATGCTCCAAATATCTGGAACAAACTCCCAGAAACCTGCAGGTCCGCTGCAACTCTGACTACTTTTAAATCCAGGCTGAAGACTTTTCTTTTTGTCGCTGCTTTTAATTGAACTATTCATATCTTACACTGCACTGTAACTTTTATCCATGTATTTTTTCTTTTAATGTTTATTTTATTATCTTTTCTTTTTAATGACTAATTTTAAATGCCATTTTCTTAATGTCTTTCGTTTTTTGTAAAGCACTTTGAATTGCCTTGTGTTGAAAAGTGCCATATAAATAAACTTGCCTTGCCTTGCACTTTATATACAATAGCTGCTACATTGTACTGCCATGTGGTTAATGCTGTATGCTGCTCATGCTCTTTCTGCATATCATGTATTTATTTTTGCTATGTCGTGTTCTTGTATGTTGTATGTGACGGGACTGCGGATGGAAATGAGCTTAAAGCTAAAATCCGGCTCATTTACGCTTGTAAGCATTGTTTTGTTTTAAAGTGTTCATCGATGTGCACTGTCCCGGTTCAAATAAACGATTAAATTAAATAAATGAAATTTGGATTGGACAGATTGCATATTTAACTGAGAAATAATTGTCCACAGTAGAGATATCATTTTCATCTTGTGCTTTCTATATCCAATTGTGGCAACACTGCTCATTGTAGTCAAAATCAGCCAACAGAGAGTACAAATAATGCCACTTTCTGGTTGGATCTGCCATTTCTGATCCTAAAAAAAATTCTAAAATGCACTCATTATAGCCCGGACATAGGCTATTATGCCATTCATGCTAATTAGTTTAGTTTATTGGTTTAGTTATCAGGGACCAACTACAAACATCAATCTCAAAGAGACAATATGCTTTGTACAAGATGATAGCAGTCTGCTCATTTCCATCTGCAGTCCCTGGGCATTTTATATGTATTTGTATTTAACAGGGACAGTACACATTAATGAACATTCCTGTAAATGTGCCAGAGTTAGCAAAGAGGCTATTTTTAATCTGTAGACCCTGGACAGATTTTAAAAGTCAACCTAAAACACATTTCATTTTAAACAAGTAAATACAACACATTTAAAACATGCAACATACATTAATGGGATACTTAAATAAAACAATTTAAAACACAGAACATTAAAACAAAACAAAAGAACATGTTAAGGAGCAGAAGATTGGGTCAGTGTTGGCAGAGCTGATTCCTCACTAACCATATTTTGAGTTTTGATTTAAATAAAGTGAATGTGGTCTGGTCTCTGATTGGAGGTGGGATTGAGTTCCATTGCTGAGCAGCTATAACAGAAAATAAAGACTGACTGAAATAACTTTTTCTGAGTGGAATAATGCAATCTCCTCGCGCTGCACCTCTTGTTACCCTAGTTGCAGTTGTGCGTATGTTAATAAACTGTCTAAGAGGAGGTGAGGTAAGGCCGTTGACAATCTTGTAAAAAAGGCAAGCATTTGCATGTTTAATGAGGTTTTCCCAGCTTAGCAAGTTGTATTTTTTGAGTATTGGGCAGTGATGCGAAAAAACAGATTTTTTTGTCCAGTATTTTGGCATTAACGCAACCAATGCATACTGTGCAAACTGCCCAACATATGCAAGTTACCATCCGGCATTTTCTATGTGCTGGGACCCAAACTATACATTTCTATCATAACACTTGGGTGTACTCAACATTCTGGGTTCACACTGCTGGCAACAAGACTATAGTCCAACACAGCAGCAGACTGAACACTAAACTTCTGTTTCCTGTTTGTCCGAGCAGCTGTTGGTAGCTTTGGATGCACTGAAGGGTCTTGGTGTCCTGCATACGGATATCAAACCCGACAACGTAATGTGTGTCAACCAGCTGGACCAGCCCTTTAGAGTGAAGTTAATAGACTTTGGTGAAGCTATGACATCCTCTGAAATCCAGACTGGTATTATCTTCAGCCAGCAGGGTACAGGTGGGTTCCTCCAACCATGTTGCTCTCTTGGTCCTCTGCACCTGCCAACAAAGATCTAATCTTTGGGCTTCCTCCTCAGATCTCCAGAGATTGCCCTGGGCCTCCCGTTCACCGAGGCTATCGATGTGTGGGGGGTGGGCTGCATCCTGGCCTTCCTCTATCTGGCTGAAAACCTCTTCCCTGTTGACTGTGAATATCAGATGGTGGGTTGTCTACCTCAGACGAATGTCTGCAGAGACTTTGATGCAGAATGTCAGCTGTAACTCTGTCTATCTATCTTATTCGGTTGCTGCTATACCTCCTGAATTTCCCTACGGGATCAATAAAGGTACATTTTTGTAGCTCATGTTATCTTGTCTGCAGATGAAGTGCATGGTTGAGGTTCTGGGTCAGCCGGAGGACCACATGCTCCGCGCTGGCATACATACAAAGTACTTTTTCATTGAGGAATTGGCCGCTCACCATCCAACCTGGAGGCTGATGGTAGAGTCCCTATGTTGGTTAAATCAGTGGACGTTAACTGTTTTAGAAAGATTCTCATGTTTATTGTGTTCCTTTAGATGCCTTGTGAATTTACAGATGTCAACAACATCCAGGCAGAAGAGCGGCACAGCTTAATTGACCTCCCAGGCTCTTTGGATGATCTTGTCAATGTACGTACTCTTTGTCTGTTTTGCTGAAACAGTACCAGTCTGAGAGTTGGGGCTGCATTAAATGAGCTTAATCTGTTTTCAGATCCAGATCCATCCAGAAGAGGAGGCTGCTGAGATTGAGGACAGGATGGCTTTTGTGGACCTCCTCAAACGGCTTCTGCATGTTGACGGGGATCAGAGAATCTCCCCCCAGCATGCTCTGCAGCACTCCTTCATCACAATGTGGCACCTGACCGAGCCCTTTGACAGCAGAGCCCCGTAAATTACCGTTCACACTAGCAGGAGATAACCTCTGAGGTTGGTAGGCTGTTTACTTTATGGATTGACTGAATGATTCACCTCCAGTCTGCACCTCCAGAACCACGACGAGCGTCTGCTCAGTGGGGGCCTCAGGAGACAACACATCAGCCACTTAGATATTTGATGGAAGCATACTGTCACCTGATGGAGATGCAGTCACTCACTCCAACATAGATTGGGCTGGCTGGTCTTCTGAGGGAGAGATACTTCCAGGCTCCTCTGAAGAAGATCAAGATGCCTGGCTTTCTAAGGGAGAAATATCTCCATTCTCAAATGAAGAATATTCAGTTTCCTGGTGTTCTGAGGGAGAATGACCTTCATGCTCCAATGAAAAAGAACCAGATGCCTTGTCTTCTGATGGAGCAAACCCAGCCGAGCTCACTGCTGCAATGGTCAGACTCAAAGAATTATGATTAGCTTTCGCAGATTCCTTGGTCGGATCCGAGCTATCGTCTGTTGCTGCTGAATGCCTTTGTATTACCTTTTTACTTTTTAAATTGTTTTGTGTTTGATACTTTGTAACAGTCTCTTTATAAAATGTATTGTTTTTTTAACTGCAACCAAATGCCTCATGTTGCCTCATTCCTTACAAGTCAGGAAACAATTGAATTCTTTAAACACACACTGTTCCAACACTCTCTAATACTCAGTATAGTTTACTGTATTGAGTAAAAGCACCCACTGCATGTGCTTTGTAATTTATAGTTCATTATTAAAAACATGTATTGTAACCAGAGGTGGGAGAAGTATTCAGATCTTGTACTTTACATTACATTGCATTTAGCTGACGCTTTTATCCAAAGCGACTTACAATAAGTGCGTTCGTCCAACAAAATACAACTTGAAGAAAACAGAATCATATAAGTACATCAGGTTTCATAGAGCAAAAACATTTCAAGTGCTACTCAACTGGCTTTAGAAAAGCCAGTCCTTTATTAGTATAAAAGTGCTTCGTTAATAGTTCTATCGCTCGAAGTGGAGTCGAAAGAGATGAGTTTTCAGTTTGCGCCGGAAGATGTGCAAGCTATCTGCCGTCCTGATGTCAATGGGGAGCTCATTCCACCATCCTGGAGCCAGGACAGCAAACCTACGTGTTTTCGCCGTTGGGAACGTGGGTCCCCCTCGCAGCGAGGGCGCAACGAGTCGTTTGGCTGATGCAGAGCGGAGTGCACGTGCTGGGGTGTACGGTTTAACCATGTCCTGGATGTACGAAGGGCCAGATCCATTCGCAGCATGGTAAGCAAGTACTAGTGTCTTGAAGTGGATTCTAGCAGTTACCGGAAGCCAGTGAAGGGAGCGGAGGAGCGGAGTGGTGTGGGAGAATTTAGGAAGGTTGAAGACCAGACGAGCCGCTGCATTCTGGATGAGCTGCAGAGGTCGGATGGCACATGCAGGTAGACCAGCCAGGAGGGAGTTGCAGTAGTCTAGGCGTGAGATGACGAGAGCCTGGACCAGAACCTGAGTCGCTTTCTGTGTCAGCTGGGGACGTATCTTCCTGATGTTGTAAAGCGTGTATCTGCAGCAACGGGTTGTAGCAGCGATGTTTGCAGTGAAGGACAGGTTGTTATCTAGGGTCACACCCAGATTCTTGAGTAAAGTAGAAGTACCAGATTGTAGGAATACTCTGTTACAAGTAAAAGTCATGCTTTCAAAATGTAACTTAAGTAAAAGTAGAAAAGTATTAGCATAAAATTATACTTAAAGTACCACCCAAAAGTAAAAGTAGTCATTGTGCAGATTGGTCCGTTTCAGAATAATATATATGATATGTTTTATAATGATTGATCATGAAAGTGTTCTCAAAGCTGGTGAAGGTGCAGCTAGTTTGAATGACTTTGTATACTGCAGGGTAGCTGGTGGATTTACTCCAGGTGGAACTAAAGTCTGATTCAACACTTGATTATATTTCACATCATTCATCCACATCTGTGAAGTAACTAAAGGTATTAAATACATGTAGTGGAGAAAAGTACACGATTTACCTCTGAATTGTAGTGGGGTAAGTACAAAGTAGCATAACTTGGAAATACTCAAGTAAAGTACAAGTACCTCAAAATTGTACTTAAGTACAGTAGTTGAGTAAATGTACTTAGTTACATTACACCTCTGATTGTAACATTGTAATCATGCTAGTAATCCCATTTTTTACAAATGTAAAAGTAATCTGATTACATATTTTTTGTTTTGTTTCCTGATTACTTAATCCCTTTAACGGCGTTACTGCCAAAAACCTGGCGTTCACACCGGACGCGATGCGAATATTCGCATCGCTCTAGACCAGGGGTGGGCAAACTTTTAGGCTCGGGGGCCACTATGAGTTTTAAAATTTGACAGGCGGGCCGGGCCAGTAGCAGATGGATGGAGAGTGTTTGTGTGAACAAATACAAATTACAAGTAAAAGCCATTACCTGAAAAAGTTAAGAAAACTTACATTTCATTTCAGTGGGAACAGTGTTGTTGGTCACCCTTTTTTGCCAGTGCATCAAAGTTTGGTGTCAGTTTGGTTGTGGCAATTCTCAGGACATATCTTAGGTGTTCATCAGTTAACTGGGATCTGTGACGTGATTTGTTGATGTTCATCACGCTGAACGTCTGCTCACACCTGTAGGTAGAGCCAAACAACACCAGCATCCTCTGTGCCATCCTCCTAATGTTTGGAAACTTGGCTTCGCTTAGTGAAGCATAAAACTCCTCCAGTTTGAGATAGTTGAACTTCTCCTTTAAGACGGAGTCACATTGAAGATCAATCAGTTCCAATTGCAACTCCTGCGGCGCTGTTTCACAGTCTTGTGACAGGGGACATGAAACCAGCTGAAGTGACTTTTCGATTTTTTTTTAGCTCTGGAAAATCGTCAGCTTTCCCGATTAACTCCAAAAATGAGCTAATCTCCCCTTTAAACTCCCACACTCGTCGACATACTTTCCCCAAACTTAACCAGCGGACATGAGAATGATAAAGCAAGTCCTGGTGATCAGCATCCGTTTCCTCAAGGAACTTAATAAATTGACGATGCTGAAGTTCCCTCGCTCGTATACAGTTAACGAGTTTTATGACTGGCTCCACAACATGATCAAGTTGCAATACAGATTTACACAGGGCTTCCTGATGGATTATGCAGTGCAGGAAAATGACATCCAGCTCAGGATTTTCCTCTTTCACCTTATCCTGGATTATTTTCAGCAGCCCGACTTTTTTTCCTGTTAAATTTGGCGATCCATCTGTGGTGACATTGGCAAGTTTACTCCAAGGTAGCTTCAGCCTCTCGATGACATACAGTTCTTAAGACCCAAACTGCGTTTTACGTCGCTGATTTTCTCCGCAACACCGCTCACAACATCAATAGAGGACTGCGTCGGGTAGTTTTTAATCATACAAAGCCAGATTAAATTAAATAACTACTTCTCCAGCCTTATACCTTTCTCCAGAGTGCCATCGTGCATTGTTTATTAATGTGTTTCAGTGGCATTACCGCCCGCTGGAGCGCGGCTCGTCCACCGGAGATTATTCTCCCGTTAACTCACAGCAGCGGCCGCTGGAAAGTATTCACTGTCCGACTGTCACACAAGCAGCTGAGAAATATTCCCCATCCCCATCAGTGAATGTGTCAGTCTGAATTGATGCTGTTTGGCATCACAACACTGTTTCTCTGGCATTCTACAGGTGGTGTTAGCATAGCAACCGAAGCTAATCAGACTATATTGACTACTTGTTGATATCATATTGTGGCATAAATCGGCACATTTTACCGGCGTAGTTTTCGTTATGATTTTACTTGTGATGGCCACATGTAGCCCATGTATTGATTCCATCCGATAGCTGCAATAATACAAAACAGGAAAACATCTGCCTCTTCACAATTGTCAATAACGGTGAACGGATGGTCATTAAAGTAAGGTAAAATAAACAGAATCACACTAAGCTGGTTAGTATTGCCTGACTGTATATAAGTGTGTGGTCGCGTTTTAGTCGCTTTGCTCAGCGCTACGACTTGTTACAACTTGTATTCGCTGTTCTCGCCGTGATTGCTCAGGTTAATCTCAACTTCCTCCATTGTAAGGGTGACGTATGCGGTTCTTAGATCCTGCCGGGTTGCCGAGTGGTCAATTGCGCCATCTAGTGGAATAAACTGAAATTACGGGGTTGCAGGAAAAAGGCTAAATTAATGCGGTCATTACTATAATTTGGACAATTTTGTACCAATATTCGGCGGGCCGGATTAAAAAGTCCAACGGGCCGTATGTGGCCCGCGGGCCTTAGTTTGCCCATGCGTGCTCTAGACGCTCGAGTTTCACCGCGGCTGCCAGCTGTGTTTACTCGCATCATTCAAACAAGACGCGCTCGGGAGCTACAACTAGAACAAAATGAACATATTTTACCGTGATTAAATTGTAATACACGTTTCTAAATTATGCCGACGTAACAACATACTGATACCGGTTAGTAAAAACCATGAATTAATGCTTGACAAGTCTGCAGACAAGACGGCAGGCAAAAAACCTTTTAAAATGCTTGTTTTCTGAATGGAGAGTGGGTCGACCAGGCTAAGCTAACGTTGTATATGCTCACTCCACACTCATAACAACGGCCTACAGACATAAATAAACCAGCGACTGTATTCGCCATGACACAGACAGTCTGTGGTTTGTTCTTGTTTAACTTTTGTACAGTTTCTGAACAGATATGAGGAGCTGTGATCTCTGTGTGCTAACTGCTAACAGCTAATGGCTGATGTTTTCTGGTTGAACGTCAGTGACGGCAGGCTGAGATCCTCACCGCTGATTGGCTTCCACGAGAACGCGTCACGTGAATTTGACGCCCGAGTTGAAAAAGTTGAACTCTCGCGTTTGACAAATACAAATACAAATGTATTTATTATAAACGTTAGTCCTTAACATCTATCACTGTGTATATCACCATTCAAACATATTTTAAAAGTTGAACAAACCCCACACAGCTCAGTAAAGACTGAGATGTTGACTTTATTTGATCATTTCAGTAAAAACTAACGTTCATATTTCTCTTTTTGATTATAATACTGATGAACGTTCAGAAAAAAGCACTTTGGCAACTTACCACATACGTTTTAAAATGCTTAATAAGCACCGTAACTTTCATGATATCATGTCTCGGTCATAATCGGTTGTTTCCGTGAACGGCCGACTGTTGAGTGACGGCAAATGCTGCGGCTGCAACCCAGATAACAACGAGACACTGGGCCGGATCTGGGCCGCACCTAGCAGACGATCTGGCCCGGATCCGCCAAACGGACTCGGTCCGTTGTCCAAACGCACATCGGCCCGAAACTGGATCGGATCCGCAAAACGGATCTGCGGCAGATATGGGCCAGCACTGGTCCAGCTCCGTTTCAATATGGTACTCCGCGTTCCAGATGCGATACGGATCCGCTTACCAGACTACTGCCAACTTCAATTTTTGCCTTATCTTCGGCATTTAAACACATTAAACCTGGCTAATATTGGCTATATTTAAGTCTTCATGGAAGTGTCGCCATTTCACTTTTCATCTAAAGTTATTGGACCAGTCAAATGA